TTTTTTTTATTTTTTTTTTTGGAAAGTTCGACTTTGTTGATCGAGGGGAAGGACAAGGATTGGCAAAGAGAGAGAGAGAGAGAGAGAGGCATGGCCGCTGCGCAAGGATGACACGTGTCAATGGACACGTCTCTCTCTCCCTCTCTCCCTCTATCTCTCTCTCTCTCTCTCTCTCTATTTTTTTTTATTTTTATTTTTGGAAAGTTCGACTTCGTTGATCGAGGGGAAGGACAAGGATTGGCATAGAGAGAGAGAGAGAGAGAGAGAGAGAGAGAGAGAGAGAGAGAGACATGGCCGCTGCGCAAGGATGACACGTCTCTCTCTCTCTCTCTCTCTCTCTCTCTCTCTCTCTCTTGCAATCGAAAAGATCTCTCTCTCTCTCGATTTTTATTTTTTTATTTTGGAAAGTTCGACTTTGTTGATCGAGGGTAAGGACAAGGATTGGCAAAGAGAGAGAGAGAGAGAGAGAGAGAGAGAGAGAGAGAGAGAGAGAGAGAGAGAGAGACGTGTCGATTGACACATGTCATCCTTGAGCAGCGGCCATGCCTCTCTTGCTCTCTCTCTCTCTCTCTCAATTTTTTTTATTTATTTCTTTGAAAGTTCGCCTTTATTAATTGAGGGGAAGGACAAGGATGCGGCATAGAGAGAGAGAGAGAGAGAGAGAGAGAGAGAGAGAGAGAGAGAGAGAGAGAGAGACATGTCCATTGACACCTATCATCCTTGCGCAGTGGTGATGCCTCTTTCTCTCTCACTCTCTCTCTCTCTCTCTCTCTCTCTCTCTCTCTCTCTCTCTCTCTCTCTCTCTCTTTGATGTTACATGAAGCTGACAGGTGTTGTCATTGTTGTTTGCGCTGTGTGCAGGTTAATTATGGCGTACTTGAAGCAGTTGCACAACGACTTGAAGAAGCACTTCATCGATGACGGTGCCGCGGGGTCAAACCCGGGCAAGGGTTCCAAGCACTGGGTCTGCAAATACTGCGAGACCCCGTTCGATGGCACAGCCTCGGTTCTGAAGAACCATTTCCTGAAGAAGTGCAGCTTGGACCGCATCAGGAGGCCGTTGTCAGTGGAGGATAGGGCTACGAGGGCGGAGGGCATCCGCATGGGGAAGTTCATTGCGGAGACCATACACGCGGGGGGAGGAGCAGGCCGGCCCCAAACAGCTTGGCGTCCGTTAGTAGCCTGGTCACTAACGAGGAGTGAGGTCGCACCGACTCGCCTGGCGGGACGAGAGAGGCGGTTATGGCCGATGAACCGGCCGCGGTCATGCCTACCTCTGGTGAGTCCGTGCAGCCTGCACCCCGTTCCAGACGCCCGCTGAGGCAGACGGTCATGGAGGATGCCGACAACATCATAACACGCAACGAGCAAACGAGTCGGTTCCTCGACCGATTCCTGTTCTGCACGAACCAGCTGTTCAACATCGTCGACAACCAATACTTCCATGAATTCGTTGATGCTGTGAAGAAGGCGCATCCTTCGTGGATGCCTTACAAGAGGGATGAAGCGAGGACGAAGCGGTTGGATGGTCATTACGGAAGGACGAAGGTGGACGTGCATGCCATGGTGAAGAAGTGGCACGGCTCCGGGTGCATGCTGCAGATGGATGGCTGGTCAGACAGGCGCAACCGGCCGTACATTAATGTGATGGTGTCATCCCCGATCGGGACGGTATTCTGGAAGACCACATGCATGGAGGGGAAGGACAAGGATGCGGCGGCGCACTTCTAGATATTAGATGGAGTTATCAGGGAGATCGGCGAGGAGGCGGTGGTGGGCGTTGTGATGGACAACGCGAGAGTATGCGTCAAGGCCGGCAAGATGGTGGAGGCAGCCTACCCACGCATATTTCGCGTGGGGTGCACTGCATATGCCCTCGATTTGGCACTCAAGAACATGTACAAGGAACTGGAGTGGTTGTGCAATGTTGTGGACACAGGTTTAAAAGAGGGCAAGTTCTTCCACAAAGCGGACAAGGCAAGGGCGCTGTTCCACGTGTATAGTCCGAAGTCGAAGTTGAAGCGGCCGGGGGTGACCCGTTTCGCAACCAACCACGAGATGCTTGAATCCTTGAAGAAGGCCAAGAACCCGCTGAAGAATTGCATTGACGACGATGTGCGGGTGGAGAAGATGGTCAGAACGGACCAGTTCGCTGTGTTCCACGAGGTGACGACCATTGTGTTGGGGAAGGATGACTTCTAGGCGACAGTCGACAAGGCCCTCGCAGTGATGGGGCCAGCAGTGACGCTGCTTCGTCTTGTTGATGCGTCGGGGCCGTCCATGTCGAGTGTGTATTTCAAGATGGACACTCTCGTCGCACAGATGCACGAGCTTGATTGCATCACGGCGGGCGAGAAGGCCGAAATAGAGGATATCTTGATGCGGAGATGGGCATTCTATGACCAGCGAGTTGCATTGCGCTGCTGCGTTCCTGGACCCGGAGCACCGTCACACGAATGCCTTGCGAGATCCTGAGGTGCGGGACGGATTCAACATTTGGCTTCTCTCGTGGGTGCCGAACGACCAGCAGACATGCGACGAGCTCGGCCACCAGGTTGACATGTGGGTTAACCTAGAAGGGTCGTTCAAATCGCAAGACACTGCGGAAGCGTCACGTGTGCAGCCAGCGGCTCTGTGGTGGGAGGCTAACTGCGGGAAGTTGGACCTGCTCCAGCCACAAGCAGTCAAGTTGCTTGGCCAAGCAAGCTCCTCCGTCACGCATGCGAGCGGACTTGGAGCTTGCACGAGCTTATTTTCGGGCGCAGACGTACAAAGTTGCTGCCGAAGAGGCTGGGCAAGTTGGTGCACAGCAACTGGAACGCCCTGTCGCGGGCGGCCTTGGGGGAGACGGGGGGCATGTGCACATTCGGTGGGAGGACGACACGCCGGTGGAGGCAAAGATCAGGGAATGGTACAACACATGGACAGCAATGGCCATTGATCCCGCTGCTGTTGCCGCTGATGCTGATGTGGTGGCAGAAGATGTGGAGGTGGGTGAAGAAGACGGTTCGGAGCCATTGATGCGCACGTGCCAGCGAAATGATGTCGCAGATGACGAGGAATGCGACGAGGAGGACATGGCTCTCTTGGGTTCGTAGGAGAGGGAATGGCACGAGTGCATCAAACCCGGGCGTCGCAGAAAGCAAGACCTGCGAAGAAGATCGGGCAGCTCGCTGCCTCTGCCATCAGTTGTGTACACTGAGGCGGATCGAGCGGCTGCACTCAAGGCACGGCTGGCAGGGGGAAGGTCGACGGGAGTCAACCAGCAGGCAGAAGCGTGTGAGGAAAAGAGCACGAGTGGCAAGCGAGGCGGGAGGGGCTGAAGCGGAAGTGGGCGTGACCCACCCAAAGAAGAAGAGGGGTCAACCATCGTTGGTTGAAGCTGCTACAAAGAAGGCTGAGCTGGCAGCAGCCAGGGCTGCTAAAGCAGCAGAAAAAGCGGCCGCAGCGAAAGCCGCGGCCGAAAAGGCCCGGAAAAAAAAAAAAAAAAAAAGGTTGCCTCTGGCGATGTGATCGAGGACGACCCGTCAGGGGACGATGAGTCCTTGTCCAGTTTGTCCGAAGACACGGATGAGTGAGAAAGCTAAGAGGAGTCTGCTGAACAATCTTTGCAGGAGGGAGGAGCAGAGGGGGAGGACATGGAGGGATCCGAGGCCGGGTCTGAAAAAAGCAATGGTGAAGAATCCGAAGATGAAGGGGCGAAGATGTAGGACGGGGGCAGACCGGACGCACAGTATACTAGTTTTGGATTCTGCCCATTGTCGGAACTTTCTTTGCTGTACTTCGTTTCTAAGTTTATGTGAAGTTATTTTTTTGTACTTGCTTTAATAAATTTGCAAGTGACTATTGGCCCCATTCTGAACTTCGTCTGACAGTTTGTTCCCAGCACATTGTCCAACAATGGTTTTTTTAACTGCTGTCAGTTCGTAAAGGTCGTGTCGCCGTACAGTGGTCTGGTGTTGCTATCCTCGTCATTGTTTGTTGAATATTGTGCATGTTATGCCATGCTGTTGTCTGATCCGTCGCTGTTAGGGCCTAGTTGCACTACTCGCCATCCGTCACATTTCATGGTGGAAGCGTGGAGAGTGAAAAAACTGAGAATCGCGTTGAACTCGAGGCCTGGTTGCACTTACTCGCCACTATATTTCTTCTATAGAAAAGTTAAAAAAAATTGTCTACCTGATGTCGACTCATGAAGCCCTGCACTCTCCAAATAGTTGTTTTGTGGAGAGGTCCGAGGACCACTCTCCACAACCGCCGTGCACAAGCGGGGAAACCGAATTCACTCTCCACAACTTGTGTCGACGGTGTGGCGAGCCATCTGACACATTTTGCATTCATCAAGTTTGGCGAGTAAGTGCAACCAGGCGCCTACTCTCCAAACTTGGCGTATGGCAAGTAGTGCAACTAGGCCCTTAATGGATGACGCCTGCAGGTATGTTCTTTCCGACACCCTCTGTTTTCGAATTATGTTGTGCAACTTGTGCTGCAACGTTGTCTGAATGTGTGCATCAACCTGTCAAAATATGACTGTTGATATGCTGTTCGTCCGAGTCCTCCAAGTCAAAATGTGAGTGCCTAGACTTCACTATGAGACTGGACTCGAGTGGCTGCCTAATTGAAGCGGTCACTCAAGTGCCCAGTCGGCCAGACCGGTAGCACTGAAGTTGAGGGGAGGCCGAGCTGACGAAGACAACAATTATTGCCTTTAGGGGTAGCGGTAGGAGTCCAGTCTAGTAGTGGAGTCTAGGCCCTGTCCAGTCGGATATCAACTCTGCAACGCTGTCTGAATGTGTGCATCAAGCTGGGCCGCTGTTTGAATGTGTGCAACACGTGGGAGGACGCCACGAGTTACAGAGGTCTGTGTAATTGACCAAACCCACATACAGACCCCACATCACAGCTGTGCGGACACAGAATGCCCCTACCTCGCCCCCCCCCCCCCCCCAAAAAAAAAAAACAGGTCGGCGCATCTCGCGCACCTCCCCCAGGCTGCCCCGCACATGCGCGCGCCGCACAGCACAGTGTAGCGCAAGCGCAGAACCTTCCGGTCCACGCAACGCACGTCCGCATGTGCAGCGCATCGCGCACGGCTGCAGTGCGCCACAAGTATGGTATGAATGTGTTTGCGGGACGACAACGGAGTCAGTAGCTTAGGGTATCTCTCGAGATGGTGAGGGTGTTTACACCACCTCGACCCTAGCAGGAACAACTACTATTCCTACTGGCCCGACGCGTTTCCCGGAGCAGTGCCAGAACTATTGGCCACATTGCTACCTACGGGAGCGGAGGATCCCAACGCCTGCCCATCATCCACAGGACCTTCTCGGTCACCTTTTTGCTCCGGCACTTGAACTGATTATGCCCATAGTGGCCACAACGGATAGAAGCTTGCCGGGTGTACCGATCTCTCCACACGTCCTCTGTTAGACCCGCTTTCTCCCATGGAGGAGTGTTGGGGTCAACTTGGCTCCTAGACCGGGAGCCTCCACGGAGTCTACCGGTCGCCTTACCTTTATGTACTGACTTCTTCCTTCGGTTCGTCGTGGTTGTTTGTCTATGCCTTATCTTTGCTTCTAGGTCTAGGGCCTTCTTGCTGAACGAGGGGAAGTTGTGCATGTTGATGTTGGCCTCACCTGCCAACTGATTCCTGAGAGGCAAAGGAAAGCATCTCAAATATGAGGTGAGTGAGACCTGGGGGTCGTAGCGCATTCCAGGAACACAGATCAGACGCTCTACTGCGTGGCCTCCCTTACTGACTTGAAATGTCTGTTGTTCAAAGTTAGGATCGCATCAGTGGCCTTTTGGGCCTCCTGAGGATCATGCCACCATCTTCCACCAGCTTGAGGAAGTCGTCCAGTTTTTGGCTGACTGCCCAAGCGCGAAAGTCATGACTGTATCCCTATAATTGCACTAAACCGCTCAACCATCTTGCTGCACTCCCCTCTAAATAGGAGGCAGCCACAAACACTTCCTCATGCGGCAAGGTCAATTTGCACTTGACATAGACTGGCGCTGACCTCAACCATGCGTCGAGGTCTTCGCCCCTCTTGTCCCCTGAAAAAGGTTTGGGAGGGGCGATGGTCGTCTTTGGAACCACTGGGTTTGTCCCGCAACCTATCCCGCTCCAGCCTGTGGACCTTGGGGACTAGACTGCTGCACTAGCTGCTCCTGGGGCTGTGTACCCTGCGGCTGTGTAGGCTGTGAGACGACAGGCTGCCCAGTTACAGCAACCTGCGGCGGAGGTAAGGAATCCACTGACTGTACAGGAACCTGTACACTAGGACCTGTTGAGAACCCTCCTGTTTGCGGCATACCTAGGGAAGCGGCTTGGACCGATGCTGGAGAGACATATGGGGATACCCCAATCACAGGTGGGACAAAAGGAGGAGGTTGTACAACGGGCCAGGCACCAGGCCCGGACGGCGATGGAGCTGTCTGCGCTCGCCCAACCAACACAGCCAGACTCTGTTGGATGTCCTGTAAGAGACTCGTCTGGTGGTCCAATATTTCTACTACAT